ACGCAGCCCTCCCGTCCTCGCGCAGGAGAAAGGCTGCCCGGCACGCGGCGCCGGGCTACCGCTAAGCCGTAGCGGTCCCAGTCCCGACCGGTCGGCTGCAAAACCTTTGGCAAAAGACTTCATTGTGCTGTGTAACTCACCTCGTGAGATACCTCTACCGCTGAGTGCTTTGAGATATTTGGTTTAGCATGGAGCAGCAAATGTAACACCGAGCCCATGGAGACTTTGCGAGCGATGCTGAAAGCGGAATCTAGCTCTATCAGGGGGTCTCTATCTCCTGCTAGCTGCGCGTCTCACTGTTAGGAGAGTTGTACTCTTCTCTAAGGCACGGCTTACAGTACTATTTTTGTCATTTTTATTATTGTATGTCATAGTTACCGAAAATAATAAAAGGTTATGCGTGGACTATACAGGTATAGGCACCACGACGTAATAAAGTGCGTTGTCACAATGATGTGTATGAACTACGACATGCGGAAATGTAATATATCTTATGGCAGAAGAAATGTATTTTTTTCAAAAGGTGGGAGTAAAAAAATCTCACATGCAAACAGTATCTATGAAGTGAGAATAAAGACCGGCTTGGTTTCTTTGAAATTCACACACCTTTCCTCATTCTTTCTGACCCTAGATCTTTACAAGCCAGTGAAGCACTTTAGTATGAGAAGGTTTAAAATATGAAATTTATCTGGCACGGGTTTACGGCTTGAAGAGGGAAAGCTAAATGAACTTTTCTCCAAAGAGTCACAAGATTCTAACTCTCTTGGTAGCCCTTCTGTTTTATCTGATTAAGAAATGCTCTAATTTCATTAATGCTATTAATGAAGCACACTAGCAATGTGGCAGCTTCATAGACACCTCCGTCCTTCTGGCAAGGTGTTTCTCCTGAGAGACAAGCCTCCGAACGTCTCCCTAGCCAGACGAGAGGATGCGGCTTTCACGAGCCGTCACGGCCACAGGCACCCAAGGAGAGACGGCACTGGGCGAGCACGGAGCTGCGCAGCGGGAAGCGCTCGGTGAAAGGGCCGGGCTGTGGCTCAGGGTGATGGGCTTGCAGGGGAGCAGCTGCTAGCCGGCTCCTGGTCACATCTGCGGAAGAGCTTGCCATGCAGCTTGCAGCAGGCAAGGGACTCGAAACAACCTCCTGCATTTCCTGCTGCTCAGCTTTCATTTCTATGACAGCTAGCATCAAAGCTTTCCATCGGGGCGGAACGATAGCCTGGCAGCTAGAGCAGAGAGCTGGCACTCCAGATTTATACCTTTCCATGGCAGTGCCCTGTGATTCTGAGTAGAACACTGACTCCCGTTTGTGCCTCAATTTTTGCTCCACGCTGGAAATCCGCCCCTCGGATATAAGGAGCTCCAAATAGGACAGATATTCCAGTGATGATATCACAGGCGCTGAGGTATGACCCTAATGAAGAATTTGTACGGCTGATTTCTCAACTACAGCAGGCTACGGGAATGCTGTGTAATAAAGAGGTAGCTGCTAAGCTGAAAATTAGCCCACACCCTCAGAGAGGATTGCTCTAATCTGCCTTCAAACTGGATACCTCTTATGCTTCCACTAGCTTAGAAACCATTATTTTATTCTACTAAAGGTGGCACAAGCAGGTGTGAAGCAAATTTTCCCCGTGTCCCTCTCCCGTAGTGACCCCCCCGCCTTCTGCTCTTCCAGCCTTAGGTCTCCGTACGACCGACAGACGTTCCCTGCCCACTCACATACCGTGCTGCCAAGGCATCTCCCTCCTGGCTTGCAACACCCCTTGCTCTTCTGGGTCTGCACACGTATAAACCGAAGCACACACCCCTGTCCTGTGTTGCCACATACCTCGTGTTCCAAATCTGACCACCAGACAAGACATCGCCACTTGATCCCTCGTTCTGCGCTCCTCTGTCCCAAAATTGGCTCCTCCTGGAAATTGTATTATATGATGCAGAATTCTGTAGTGACTTTTTTTTTTTTTTTTTTTTTTTGGTGCACTGGGACCTGTATAAAGATACTTTCATCGATTTCCTTTTAGCTGACCTTCAGCCGTCCCATTTAGTCCCAGTGGTAACAAGTCTGGACATTCTGAGAGGGGCTCTCTCCTGAGGGCAAAGTGCGTGTGTACGCACACGTATAGATGTGCGCATGCCTAAGGCATCGCCATCTCTCAGTAATCACTGCATGGCATTCACGTGAGTTTTGCATTCCCAGGGCACGCCCAGATGTTCTGCTTAGAAGCTTAATTTCTTTTCTCTTTTTCTTGTCCTTAGTGCTTTTTTTCCTTCATGGCATCCTTTCTCAACAGGGTCACTCAGACTGCAGTGTTGCCTAAAGCCACTCTTCGCTCTCACCACTCGGCAAAGCAGCTGCATTTCCCGGTGCAGAAGACCCAGAGAACGGGCTGGCTTGGCCGCTGCAACGGAGCCCACGTGTCCCTACCCACTGTAGCTTGGCTGGCGCGTTACAGCTCCATCGATCTGGGTTTGGTCTACTCTCTGTAGATGCTCCTTGTGAATTAAAAAAACACAGAAGAGGAGCTGGGGTAGGCCTAGAGACCCAGCGAGAAGTGCTGCAGGGAGGATACCCAGGCTCTTAAAAGGTTCTCAGGCAAAAAAGCGAGACTTTCAAAAGTGTCTCGGTGCTTGGCTTCCAAAGATGTCAGCAGCAAACTGAAGGCTATGAGGATCCCACCTCCATTTTTGGAACCAAAAATCTTTTTGGCCCTGTGCATTTAGGCTTCTGCAAGTAAGGTCTGGACGTGTTTGAAAAAGACTTTTCCAGAGCCAACGCTTAGAAGTGTTTCAACCCAAATATTGGTTGAAAACAAAACAAAGTCAAACTAAACCCCCAGACGCAGTCCGTATTCAGAGCATTTTATTATTTAAAAAAGTTACAAAACAAAGCTCGTTGATTTCTTGTTAACTCTTGTTTTCTACAGAAAGTCATAAACAAGATCATAACAGAGTAAAATGCTCCTGAGCAAACAACATCATCAAAAATAAATGTGGTATTTTATGTACACATAAGTTACTGTCAAATATTAACATTAAACCGGCTCTATTTATAAATGGACTGCAACAAAAACGCAGCATGGTTTTAGTCTTCTAAATAAATCAGATGCTTTGTCTGCGACATAAAGAAGTTCCCAACCCCATTTCTTCTCTTTCCTTTCCTCTAAGATAGTGAGTCTCGTTTGAAATAATCTGGGTTAAGTCCAAAAGCATCTCAGCAGCAGCATTCTGTGCGTTGTCCTCAAAAGGCAACAGCAGTAGGTGAAGGACAGAGAGGTGGCTCGGATGCAAAGCTGTAATCAGAGCCACCTCGTGCTGTCAGGCGCGCTGTCGTCCTCGAGACGACGCTGACTGATACGAGCACACACTCCTCGGCCAGCATTGGAGGTCTTTCCGTTCACAGCCAGGCTGGCTTTTCTCTTGAGTGTGTTTGTGAAATGTAGATGGGCCTGTCTGAAGCCACAGACGGATTTCCTCACAGGGGTTTAAAAGTTAAAAGCTATGAATAGGCTTTTACGAGGACTCGACGACTGTCCCAGGGAGCAGAATTGCAGTTCTCCCCTCCCCAGATACTCATTAGGAACAAAAGAACATTGCATGATGCCTGAATCCAGGACACACGGCTGGTTTAATAATGAACTGTAATAGCTGGAGGAGGATCGCTAAGCTCAGCAGTGTGGTGTTTAGGTGCTCACAGATCGCCGACCCAGAACATTTCTGTTCGCGACCTTTCTGACAGCACCTGAGCTTTCGGGGAGTTTCAAGCCTCCCACTTCTTCTGCGCACACAAACACTTCCTTAGCTGTTCAGTTCCCCTTCCGCAGAGCTGTCCTTCGTGTGTGTAAATCCATTAGGCACCACATCCGGGCAAAGCTCTGGCATTTCCACCTTGCTGGAGAGTGGGTGAAGATGCAGGTCACTGTTGCTGCTCATGGCAATAGTCACTCCAGGAGGGTGAGTATGAGCAGAATCATCACCTTTTCCAGCTTCTTCTTGCACAACTCGGTAGTTTTCTAGGGTCAAGCTCATGCTGGGGACGGTAGGAGTGTGAGTTACTTTCAACGTCTTCTTTGACCTGAACCTTTGGTAGCAGAAGAGGAGACACAAGACCAGCGTGTCTATAAGTAGCTCAAACATTTCAACTACAGACAACACTGAGGATCCAAACCAGAGGCTCCATTGGCTTCCCATGCTGGACAGAAGCAGATTCTCCTGCGGAAAGAATCAAAGGGTTGTGTTTATCAAACACGGCAGAGCTCTGGGAACATGAAATTATTGCATATTGCCAGCAGGTCGGTTAGCTGCTTGCCATTGGGGAGTAATTTTGTGTGACCGTGTAAAATAGGAAATTTTCAAGTCTCTTCCTTAAGAAGAGTAATCCCATCCCATCCTGGGGGCTGTAAATAATCCTCCCTCCAACCCTACCCAGCACGCCATAACTAAGGACAGGTAACAATGTCTTGAGCTGATATAGTGCAACCTACTGAGAGTAAAGGAGACTCGTTCACAGACTGGTAGTTCAGTTGCTGGTAGAAGATAGTCACCTTGGCAATATCATTCCTGTGTTGGAGAAAGAGAGCAGTTAGCGACGATGGGATGCCACGTCATTCACCTGCCGGCATTCTGGTCTCGACGTTACATGTGGATTGCTAGGGAATGGGTTTCACCACTCGCTCAAGCTTTCTTCCTGAGGGTGTTTAACATGGGCTTGGGAAAAGGTTACAGAAGTGACTGTCTTACAGTGTTGTGAGGGAAGATGGGAAATTTATTGGGTGACCCTGTACCTTTTTCTCTTCTCCTCCCTTTCCGGTCTAACATCTACAAATTCTACAAGGATGAAGAGTTAATCCGTAGTGTTAACAGGAGCACCGTCCTGCAGTAACTAACCTGTTGCTGGTAGAGTTATATCCATTCTGATGCCTTAGAGCTTGGCGGATCCAGTCCTGCAGCAGAGTATATGTATGTTATTGGCAATCCTGTCTTCCGAGTTTTTGTATGTTTAATATTTTGTAAATGTAGGTTTCATAAGCAATAAAATGGCTATTGCAAATAATAAAAAAGGATGTAATTGTTTGGTTTATAACACATAGTGGTAGCTATCAGGTGGCAGCTATATTTGCCAGAATAGCAAGGAAATACACACTGATATTTTAGGCGTGTATAGTATTCTGGTTCTTAAATCCTGCCTTTAATGGCAACCCCACCAAACAATTTCCTCTTTTCAAATGGATTGGTTGTATTTACATCCACATTATCACCTATATCACATGAATTAATTACCTGGTCATACAGCCTGACTGCCCATTTAACATTAGAACATGAGGAATGGCAGGAGGTCATCTGTTGACTCACAGAGTTTCCACTGCAGCCCCGCAGCACCTCACAAACAGTAACAAGCGAGTTGTTACGCCACAACACCCACTGGAAGCAGCAAGTCATTAACGCCGTTTGGTAGGTGGGAACGAAGGCAGTGAGGTGAATTGCTTAAGGTCACGAGGAAGTTTGGATTAGAACTGGAATTGAACGTACCTCTCTAGCATCTTAGCCTGGCATCTTAACTACAGGGTCATCCCCCTGGGCCCAGGTTTTGGACCAGTTTGCTTTATTTGCCACTTCCATTGCTGCTGCCTGTGTCGTTGTTTTCACCCTTAACAGTCACAGTAAATAGGGTAACCCCTCTAAACACAGCAGCTGTCGGTATGCACTACCTGAGACTTCGCTGACGGCCACTTAGCTGTCCCAGCAGACACCTTGTACAGTGATTCCCTGATAAGATAAAAATGGGGATTATGATCACTATGACTCTTGGCATTTAAAAGTGAATACATGAAGGAGTTTAACAATGCCAACTACTTGCCCAAAACAGAAGTTCTGGGGGCAACTCTTGAGAACCTTGGAAAAAGCTTTGTAAATCGGCTTAGAAAATGAAATCAGACGTTGCCTGAAAACTGTTCAGGTCAGGAGGAAAACCAGAACAGTTTCAAAATCCTGGAAACTTTTCTTTGATGCTTTCAAAACCAAAATATTTGATATTTTGCTGTACAATTATGTCTTTCCATTTTGAAATTGATGTACCAGAAAAAAGGTGAATCAAGAAAAAGAATACAGATTGAAAAATGACACAAACAATTTGGTTTGGGCTTAATAAAACATTTCAGTGTGATTAACACAACCTCCCCTCTCTGCTGTCACGCACACACAAAATTCTTATTTAATTTGCCTAATGCTGTCATCTTTTTCCTTTCTCAGCACTGGCGTTCAAACATTCAAATGCCAAAATTCAGTCAGCCAGTTGGTCCATGAATTTTCCACTAAGTTGCCCACGTTTCCGCTGGTGTAATTTTCCTCTGCAAGCTGGCATTTATTGTGTTCTACTTTTGTGACCTACCGGCAAGGCTTGGGGCACTGGTCAAAACAATTCAGGTGATGATTTCTGAGCCTGTTGTACAGCTGGTAAAAGCAGTGACCTGGTGAAAGAAATGGGAGGAACACACTCAGACACTTCCTCGGGAAATGGAAGGCTACCAAATGGAAAGCTACCAAAACCTCTGCCCTCACTTGGCCTTCCCAAGCACACAGCGCTCTCTGAGACCTGTTTTGGCCTCACTCACACTTTGGAATGGTTCCAGACGGCCGAGCTAACCACCTGTGTGCAACGCAGGTGCCTTCCCTGTGCGGGTCTGCTGAGGATAGGCCAACCAGAAAACCAAGAGAAGTTATTCAAATCTTTGTCTTGCACCAGCACAGCCACCGATATGGGTAACATGAAAGAGCTCGACCCTACATTGATGTCCTTAATAAAGGGACCCTACATTGATGTCCTTAATAAAGGGATGTTTGATAGCACCACAATTTTTTATGCACTAACTTGATATCCATGCAAATACACAGAAAGGTCTCTGCCATCTGGCTGGATGCAGTGATGTGAGGAAATAGTCTAAGCAGGAAATAGGCCCACAGTAGAAGGGCAGTAATCTAAGGAGTCATGTAACCAGTGACGGCTGGAGGAAGGTGTTCCCTTCCAACAAGGACAGGACAGCCGGCTGGTGGTCTTACCCCATGCAGGCTGCTTATTGTAGTTACAGTATTCAGCACCGGGAGGCAGCGGGTAGTAGTAATAACCACAGCCACATT